AACGCTCGAAAACGGTACGGGGGGCAGCAAAACCCTTGACCTGCCAGTTTGCTCTTCTATTAATATTTTGTAACGCAAATCGCACGTTTTAGCAGCAAACGCCCATGAATTTCATGCCATCAGACTGGTTTGATCTCATCCAAGTGAGAAATTTCACGCGTTCGCTCCCCCAGCGATCTCTGCGCACGCTATTTTGCTGCATTTCAGCTCTACATTTCTAGCCCAGCAAAACCAAACTTCACAGCATTTTAAGTGTCCCAAGTGCCCCTATGCGACTTATTTCCTGTGTCCTCCCAAACACACACATACACATAGATGCACAGACAGGTCTGTGAGTTTTAATCAACAATTTCTTGAATATAAGTTTCCTAGCCATTAATCATCCCCCCTCCCCTGCTTTTTTATCCTTATGGAGTGAATTACTAACTGCGAGGAGACGCCAATTCTAGTAAGTGAATGTTACCCAACAGGGATATAAAGCTGTCAACACCACAGTGCTCTTGCTTGCTCTAAACTCTCTCCCAGGCTTCGTATGTTTTTTAAAGAGATATTAGCTGCCTTTTTCTCTTTTTTTTTCCCCTCCCAGGGACCTTCCATAAAACCTGCCACCATGGAACACGCGAGCGCTCGCGCTTTATTAAATACTGTTTCCGAGCAGGCTGTGCAGAGACCTGCCGAAACGCTTCAGAAAGCACCGGGCTGGTGGCAGCAAAGCCGAGCCGGATTCTAACACGTCGCACCGATGCTGGCAGCGCTGCAAACAGCACCACGACGCTAAATCCTCCATCAAATGCAACCTTTAAGACCCCTTCTATCTGCTTCTGTGACCTTCCCTGTTTTATTAGGGCTGCTGCAAGGGCCCTCTGAATTAAGCATATGCGGCTTAAAACCAAAATAAAAAAAAAAAGAAAAGGTGAGGGGGGGGAGTCATAAGACAAAATTTCTCATGAGAACAACTGATTTTGTCTGCATCACAAAGGCTTATGATAATACATTTTTTTGCTCATAAATCTATAGAGAAGGCTAAAAACATCTGCATCACTACAAATTCTCCAAGAAATAGAGAAAAATCACTGCAGCCAACACTGCGATTGTATAAGTTGTTACTAGAGGTCCTCCCTCAGCCTGCACCAGGCCTCGGCTGCTCCAGACCCTCTTGCCCAACCACGACCAAAATGAAATTAAAAGAAAAAAAAAGTAATTAACAAAAAATAATATATTGTTGTCTTTAGTTTCAAATCTTTAGATAAACCTCAGAGAATTAAAAAAAAAAGTCATAACCAAATGGTTCCTAGTAAAGCACTTCATTTTTGTCACAAATTAAACTCACATTCTAGAAATATTAGCACTTCTTTTAGGCTTACAAATAAGTATCAATTCCAAGACCGCCAGCTAACGTCCCAGATGTTACTTCGCCACTGTCTTTCAGCAGTTTCCTTTTCATCAAGTACTATGAACAGCACTGGAAGAGTCTTTATTAATATTTAACTGAAAAGAACATTTATGCTAATTTGCAACACAGCAAAAGTATTTCCACACACATTTACAGATGCCTTTCACAGTTTACGTGAAAAAAAAAATAGCTGCAAACACACGAATGCCTAGAAATACCCTGAAAGAGCCCGACTCGCAACGAGGAAAAGATCACTTGGTCACACAGGTTCTGAAACATTCAACTTTAAAAAGAGCAGAGGAAAAACTATCTGGAAATTAGCTATGTTGATTTATCCTGAGAGCACTTCCAGGAGGGGAAAAAAATGAAATCAATTTTAAACAGCACCATTATCTTATTAAAAGAATCCGCCCTAACTAATTTAGTATTGAGTATTGCAGAACTTAGATAAATATTCAGACCCGAATAATTCCTTTCTTGCTTTCAGTATCAATAGGGGTAATGAATAAACTTTATTATGAGGAGCCTAAAACTAGAGAGACCCGGAGTGTTTTAAGAAAAGAGGCTCCGGCTGTGCCGGTGCCCCCC